TTTTTCTAACCCATAGATCATCAGTCCTCGTTTGCGCCTGCGTTAATATATTTCATCTTTTTTCGTACATATGGAGTCCATGCGAAGTTGTGCATAGGCATATTATAAATAAATATTATAATTACTTATGTATTATATTATCATATATTTTATCTTATTATACATATGCAGGCGGATTGTTATAACCTTGTGTGCGCCTGCGTCGACACTAGTCATATCCCCCAGTCGTATATAAGTAAACAAAGGCAGACGGCATAGCAGATAATAGTTTACTATAATTATTTCTGCGGTTACATCAATTCTGCCTTCTGCATGTCCATCAGCGGCGTGTCTTCTGTCGTCGGTCTGGTCTCGGCAGCAGAGTCCCGTGTTGCCAGCAGCAGAATCTCGTGTCCCCAGCAGCAGCGTGCCGCCTCCAGCGATGACAGCCTTTCTAGGGACCGGCAGTCTTTGTTCCCTATTGACCCCTCTGCAGACACCCATCATGTGGTGTTCTCAGGATGACACGTCGCCCACTGTTACGCGCGCATTTGCATGCGTCCGCTCGTGCCCCCTTGTCAAACGTGACCTCAGTACACGGCCGGCGGCAATCCTTGCGTCCTCGCGTGTCGGCCCTTGAAGGTCGCGCGTCTTGTCCCGTTCTGCCTGCCTCCACTGGCGTCTAAGCTTCCTCTGTTCTCGTATCCTCAAGAAACCTCGAGTGATGACTCGTGTGCTGGGCCGTCCTAACAATTCCAATGCTAACTTCAGACAAAATGAGACTTTTCCTTGGGATCCCCCTTCAGTGATGAACGTGAGGAACGAACCTTTCAGAAGGCGCCTAATTTAAGCCGTATCGGGGTTTGTTTCAATGGTGAAAGACTGTGTTCTTACCGCCCAATTACACTCTGTTCGAATGATCAATGAGAAACACAACAAAAAGGGCGTAACAGTGGAAGTCACCGGAATGAGGGTTTTATTGTGTACAGAGCCCAGACTTGCTGTTGGTTTTTTTGGTTGGTTGGTTATTAGCCCATTGTTGGATCAGGAGTCCCCGCCGGAGTCCAAACTGAGTGCAGTTGGGAGACGGAGAAAAACCGCGACCTCAGCCGGCTTGAGCCAAGGGTCCACGGGGGTGAGTTGGGTGCCTGGCCGGGAACTGCAGGCGAACAGATG